CACACACACACACACACACACACACACACACACACACACACATACACAAACACAAACACAAACCAAATAAAGACAATTGACGGCACAGGATCGCAGCCCGTAGTTCATTTGTTGATGTGGTTTGGGAAGGGTATAAGGTAGAGATAATGTTGTATGTATGTTTCGTCATTTTCGCTATACATAACTCGAATAGAGTGTGTGTGGGGTCCTGGTTGGTGCTTCATTCACGATGTTCATGGGACGCTCAACCCAGTTTCCAGCAGTTGGCTCTCCCCATCAATAGACAGGAGAATTTGTGTGATGTGTGTGTGTGTGTGTATGTGTGAGTGTGTGTGTGTGTGCTTGAGTGTGTGTGTGTGTGTGTGTGAGAGAGAGAGAGAGAGTGCATGCGCGTGCATGTGTGTGTGTGTGTGTGTGTGTCTGCGTGTGTGTGTGTGAGAGAGAGAGAGAGAGCTGCAGCGTGCAGCATGTCAGTGGCGGGGAGCACAAGGGCAGGCGCTGACCTCCAAAAAAACAAAAGTAATTTTATGGGAATACACGAGTTTTCTCTTTTCAAAATCCGAATAGAAAGGGTACTTGTTATATTCGAATACAATGTGTACATTTTCTATTCGAGGAGCTTTGCTATTCGCGAAAAGTGCACCTGCACCGTTTCAATTTTGAAAACGGCCTCCTCGGCCTCCTACGGGCAGCCACTGGTCCTATGCGTTCCTGGCCCTTACAAGGCCTCAAAACCTCAAAATGCCCATCCTCCCGACGACCGCCGACGTTGAAATTTGATCGACGTTGAAATGTCTCCGCTCGCAAAGGATTGAGGGGGAAATGGGAGAAATGAGATCAACGTTGAAATTTGCTCAACGTTGAAATTTGATAAACGTTGAAATTTGATCAACGTTGAAATTTGACAACGTTCGCAACGTTGCGCGCGCACTTGCGCTGTTTTCCCGTGTCCTTTTTTTTTACAGGTCAGATATCAAACTGATCGGAACAGATACTACTTTTGATCATCATCGCCGTCGTCGTTTTGGGGGCCGGGGTAGTTAGTTTGGGGTCTCTCTCTCTCTCTCTCTCTCTCTCTCTCTCTCTCTCTCTCTCTCTCTCTCTTGTGCACGCACACGTGCGCGTGCCGATTTTCAAACGGATCGCAACAGATACTACACTTTTCGTCATCGTCGTCGTCGTTTTGGGGGGCGGGGCAGTTAGTTAGTTTGGGGTCTCTCTCTCTCTCTCTCTCTCTCTCTCTCTCTCTCTCTCTCTCTCTCTCTCTCTGGGGGGGC